TTGCTATGAGATGCATGACAGATAAGTTTCCCTATATTCTTTGTCGCTGCTCTACTTCCTTCTCGAGTTATCAAATGATACTTAAAAGTGACAGTATTCTATAACAAGAGTAAGTGGCAAGTGGTGTATTACCATTGAATAGTGCGTTCAAAGATGGGATCACTTTCTGATCAAAGAATGGTCGGCAACCCGACGTATCGCAGCAAGTGTTTTCAATTTGTGACCTCGGAGAAAATTAGGCTTGCCTTGGCTTTGGGCAAACGCTAGTGTAAACTCGGCATGGGCCTCTGGTAGGCAAACGTCTTAACCCTGCCATTTGAGTTTCCTCCTGTTTCTTGAAACTTATTATACTGATATCAACTTCTCAAACACGCCTCTGCAACATCTTCAGGGGAGTTGTTCATCATTCTGTTGACGCCCAGGACCCCTCAAGGCAACCCACAAAGCAATAATCTTCTTGGCACGGAAGCCTTATAACCTATCACAGGAAAGTAAATCCAAAATAAAAAGAAGACAGTCGCCCTCAAATACAAAGTGCAAATATTTGTTAGTTCTCTTCCAAGGCGCCTGACCAAGGTTCTTCATCCTTTATTTTATGTTTGTCAAGCACCTTGACCGCATTGCTCTAGAAGTTGGCATTCCCCTCTGTGATAGGCAGTTTCTGCTACATTTCAACAATCCACCTTAGGGCAACCCCTCCGTCATTTTCTTAAAATATGTTTTTTTCAGTTTTGCTCTTAGCTCTGGAGCGGATGCTTTAATCTTCAAAGGCATGTGTGAACAATGCCTCAGCTCGTCATCAATTGGGCTTCGGCAGTGATGCAGTCTTAACAGAGTTGGTCTCGGTGACTGGTGGAGCTTTTGCTACACCTATCAACAAGGAAAAATTATTCTATGTGCGCCCTTAGATATGGTCTCTTGAATGCTGTTCGTCCATTGTCTCGGCCAAAATTCAGCTTGCGTTCTCGCAGCCATCAACAAGCGATGGACACTTTCTTATCCAACAATAATAATTATGAACGCATGCTCCTCAGCCTATTCTTGTAGGCTTCTCCGTTTATGAACACGATTAAGAAACTATAATATGAATTGGACATTCCTTTATGTATGCAAGGCTCAATAATTCTCTTCGCATGATAGTATACATCATTGATCTAGCAGACCACAGTTCGGTGAGGGAATTAATCCAAAATGAACCTTGTGCTGGCCGTAGAATCAACTTTGCAAACGGCTTGTCTTGCCAATGGCCTTTAACAGCCCACAAATTGAAATGGGTGAGGCAGCGAGGATCATGTCTTTGAGTATCTTGTTTTATATACATGCAATCAACATCCTCCTGTTCAATAGCTAACCATATCAATTCTCAATGTTGCTACCCGGAGTAGAGTAGGAGTTATGCTTGATATTGGTTCCCTGTGCGATGTTCTTGGTGATGAATGGCTTTCATATCTTCTTTTTTTTGGAAATATACAGACTTTAACTTGGATTCAGAGCCATCTGTTGGGCAAAATTACGCTGAGAAAATGAATATTACGGGGAGACGGCAAAAAATAAGTTGGCTAGAATGTCCTTTCTCAATATTTAATCAAGAAGAACGCAACAACATTCTTTTCAGCTGAGGCCAGCAAAACATGGGAAAGTTGTTCCATCCATGCCTTCCCTTTTCACCCAATTTTAATTCCTTTTGAGTTCAAACTCTTTTCTCGAAAGCACCTTCATAAGACTTGAATTCATCTCTTAACGCGTCTGTGGCTTGATTCTAAAACTGCAGGCTAAGCTTTCTCTTGGTAACTCAGGCTTTCAACCTTAGAACATTACTGGCGAGACCATTGTAAGTATCCTAACTTCAAATCAAATACTGGCCTAATAGTGTATTATCGCCAATAACCACTGTAAAATTAGGTTGAATATGGCAGCAAAAGTTAATGTTTTGATTACTCCCAATTTCTTGTTAGAATCTATATAAGAATCTGTCCAGTCGATGAGAGCTAAAACATAAAAGAAATGTTTTGGACAGATGAACAAAGCCCATAAGTATAGCGAATGAAAGCTTCTCTGTTCCCTCTTTTGGTATGGATCGATTTCCAACTCTTCAATCAAATCTTCAACGTCGTTACATAACCTCCATTACTATCTCCTTAGGGGGGAACATCTAATCTTTCAGAATCATCAGCATATTTTCGCAATTGGGCTTCCATCCATTGAAGTCTGATCCTTCAATGATCCAGCAATCGAATCAGACTCTGAATAAAGATTCGCACATTTCTACCCCAAAGAGACAAGGCGGGCTTAGTAATTGCCAATGGAGAAAGAAAAAGGAGGTTGCCAGGAAAGAGAAGTGAAGTGAAGAGGAGTGAAGTGGAGTTCTTTCAAATAAGAAAGAGAATAAGTGGTGGAGACTCCCTCAATAGTTCTTCCTTTTTTTTTTTTTTTTTTTTTTTTTTTTTTTTCCTCCGTCAAAATTGCAATGTGGTTTTTCTGGTTTTTCTAATGAAAAAACTCAGGTCGCAAGAACAACGAGCATAAGACTTCAAATGTTTCTGAATGAAGACGCTGACAAACACAAGCGAATACAATATTTCCTCCTTAAAAATATAATTGATACTTGGCAAGGGCGAATTTCAGAAGCAACATGAGGCAAAGAACAGAGCAATTGTGACAAACTGATCTCTGCAATAGGTGATTATTATGCTTTAATATTCTGAGTTAAAAACGAAAAAAAAGAATAACGGAATGGTGTACAGAAACAAGGAATACACAATTGTACATAGGCTCCAATATTGTTCAAAAAAAGAAAAAAAAATATATATACTATTTAATGGATATGATTGATTACAATGTCTGAATAAAAGGTAGTGTATTACTGACTACAAAAGAAAAAGAATTCATCAGAATTAATAATCTGTAGTCATACAGTAATATATGCGAATGAATATGATTAGCAATGTAGCAAATCCAATCCTGTGTTCCTGTAAGTTAAGTTAATTTATAGCAGGCAAGAAAAAATGTTACCGCCCTAATCATTTCCTTAATTAACAGACTATATTAAGCATACTTGGTTATAAATGACATGCTTATGCCTCCTCCTCCCTTTACGTTTCTTTCCCTCGCCACCGCCCAAAATTGAGTGTTAATCGGGCACAACAAATATTAGCATACAAGGCATTCTGTTTAGCTCTGCACGAACCAACTTGACTCCCCTTTTGTTGCGGGGGCGCAAAAGTTCGGGGCCCTTTTTTAGAAATCTGAATTGTTCAGTAATTGCCCAGATGGAGTGCCATCTCAATAACCAGACATGAGTAACTGCAAGCCCTCCCGCTCCTCCAAGTAGTTTTCTTCCCGCTTTTGGTTTGTATTCCCATCCACTTGATTTGGCTGCATTAACAAGCAGGGGGCATCTCTAATCCACACATCCATTTATGCATCTTTCCATTCTCTTGCTCACCTTGGTCCATTGCTCTTCTGTCGTCGCAGAGACTTCAAAAAGACTTAGCAAGCCTGCCATGCCATCGAATAGCAGCCGATTTTGCTTCTATCTCCTTTCACTTGGGGATGGAAGAATATCAGTGTTCAAGCTTGAAGCAATGCAGTGCAAGCTTGGAATTCTTGTCTTGACATGTATTTGCTTTTCAGCGAAAAAATTGAGTGGCCTTACTGCACGGGTTCTTGAAATCTAATCTGTCCAATTCCATTGGGAAGATGAAAAGGGCATAACGACTAGAAGATACAGCATGTAAATTCGCTTCGCGATTCGCTTTCTTTAGGCAAATGGGGGATTTTTCAATCATATTTGAATTCTGGTTCTTAGCACTCACCTGGTAAAAGCAGAGATCTGTGGCAGATTGCCGCCATAGATCAGAATGCTGTGATCAAAATTCTGGTTTTAAGCACCTTCCTTCACCAATCTTGTCGAAAACATCCGGCGTTTCTCTGAGTGCCGTGATCACCGCCTGTTGAGTAAGCATAAATTTTGGCGGGAAAATACAGCTCATTGTGTCTATAATATGTTGAAGATTTCTTCTTTCTTGTCTTCTATCTTCATTTCTGTTCATATTCTTCTTTCTCTTTCTATGTTCTTCACTGGCTTCTCATTTCAAAAGTTGCTTCGAAAATTATATGAGCTTTTTTATAATCTGACGGAGAGCGAGCAGTATCTAAAACATTGTAATCCGATATTATGCTCAGTATCTTCATAACATGCCATAAGGAACTTGAAGAGTTTCCACTGAACTTGATTGGCTTTCTCTGTCTAGGCAACAAACTTATCAGATTCGAATTTTGCCATGGAATTAGACCATGCTACCTTGTTACACGGGCCGGCATCAATGACAAGATTCGCAACCTGACTGGAGACAGGCACGTATCTTATGTATGAGTGGGAATTCTCACCAGCAATTTTTTGTGTTTGCTCAACCAAAGTAATGTTAAATCAAGAGAAATAAGTATAAGCATCTCGTAATAACTTAGTAAAGCAATAGCAGCAACAGCCAAACAAAGTTATGCTCTTGTCAATTCTTGAGTAACACGAGGGCTTAAAGTCAATTAGAAAAAAGGACTAAGAGAGTAAAGAAGCGGTTAAAGATAAACTAATGGCACGTGAGAAAAGCTGCCGAGATAAGTATGTATCACACTTGGCCTTGGTATAAAAGCAAATCATAAGCATGAATCCCAAGCTCAAACTCAATCAGCTTTAAAAGTTTTCTCCCAAGTCATGTGCTCATGTTGGAGAGAAGGACGGCTGACTCTCAATATCCTGGGAAGCTGATGGATAAGGCTCAGCAAAACTTAATCGTTTGAAATGGCCGAAGAAATATGCAGCATCATCAGAGTACGAGCAGGCAATCTAGGAACAAATGGCTGTTTTTGCTGGCAGCTTTACAGAGACTGGCCAAGCACAATGGATAGTTCCTCAATCACGGCTCCATACGACACATTGTAACGCCTTCAGCTCTTTTTGAAATATTAATTATCCATGAATTTATGCATAGCTATATCCTGGATCAGGCTGAGGAATGCATGCATTTTCCTAAACTGATATCCTGGAAGCTGAGGATAAGGTCAGCAAATAATCGTTTGAAAATGCTGAAGAAATATGCAGCATCATGCAAGACGACAGCATCAGGAACAATGCTGTTTGCTGCAGCTTTACAAGACTGGCCAAGCACAATGGAAGCTTCCTCAATCACAGGCTCCAACGACACATTGTAACCCTCAGCTCTTTTTGAAATATAATCATCCATGAATTTAGCATAGCTATATCCTGGATCAGGCTGAGGAAGCATGCATTTCCTAAACTGATCACTGCTTGCAAATCGTAGAGCCCAAATCCTCTCCCCACACTTAATTATTGCAAGAACAAACATTGGAACTGCTAGAAAGTTGATTGGATTTCCCATCCATGACCTTATTAAGATATAAAATGCCCCTCCAAACTTAACAATTAGACCAAGCAGTTGCCTCATCCATAATTCGTTATCTTCCAATGAATAGGCTGTGATGGTGTCTGGACCACCAAGATGCAGAAGAAGAAACGGTGCCCAAAATGCCATTATCACATACTTTGTATCCAGTGAACCATTCTCATTGCTTGAGTCCATGTTGGAGAGAACACCAAGTGAAAGATTTACAATCCAGTCTGCTGACAGGTAAGCAATCCACAGGATGAATGCTAGCCAATCTCTGGCTATGTACTTTCTTCTGCTTCCTAATACAATCAGAACCATCTGCACGGAGAGGCTGACAATAACTGCTCCACGAAGCTCCCATTCATTCCAAAAATTCCGTATCCTTTCAGGGAAAATTTCAACCAATCTCCTGTTGTTAATGAAGATCAAACTGCCAACAACTGATGCAGTGGCAAGCATGGCTGTACACCTCTTTACTGATCAGTCACCTGGTTTCAGAGAAAAGGAGTGTGGGACTATTGAACTAAAACATTCTAATTTTGATAGAGATCACCAGATAAATGAAAAACAATCTAGGGATTTAGCAAGCCTAAATGATGTATAATAACGATCAAATTTCAGGAATAACTTTAGAACAGAAGTTGCATCTGAAACTAGTTCATTTTGGTTAGAGCAGATTATAAAGTTACTCCCTTTAAAATTGGTGAAAAGCTAGTTACTACAACAGCTAATTTTCACGAGCAAGGCTTAAGACCATGAAAAAAGCCATCTAAAAGGAAAAACAAATCAATGCAAGATATAACATATTAATTAATTTATCTTGATAATGCAATTAGAAATAACTAACCAGGACTTCCACTTGAAAATGTTCAGTTGTTCTTGGTCTCCGACAACGTCTAACAAGAATCCTTTTCTTTTAAGTTTCTTTCTTCGTTTTTCACTGAAATTTTGGGGAAGGAGCAGAGGGCAGAGCTTCCGCCCCTTTCCACTGTGTTTCTCTGCTCTTTCGTCTCAGTCAAAGAATTGTTTGGCGCTACGATGTCGTTTAGAAACTGACCACGTGCAAGGAATACGGCAGAACGAGTATGTCAAACAGTGAAAATAATAAAATAATTAGAAAAACAACAAGAGGACAAACTTTTTTGAATTGGTTAATTGAAGTTCTGAATGCAATTTTGGGTAAGGTTATTTTTGTAATTGATGAATTATATTTCTTTCTATATTTATTCATTAGAAGTAATATTAAATAATGAAATAATCTTTTATAATTTCATTCAAAAATAATAAAATTATATAATAAAACGATCGTGAAATGCATTACAAATTTATATCTCATTGAGATATGTCAAAATTATATCTCATTGAGATATGTTAAAAAAGTTGCAATGCTAATATGTGTCTTTTTAAATATCCTGCGAAACCTTTTTACCAAGGTTTGCAATAGCAAAAGCCATATTTGGTATGACCTAAAGGTATCAAAATGGCTTGACATGTTAGGTTTAACACGGATTCGCCTAACACGCGATACGATTAGTGTTAATATAAACACAACCAATTTAATAATTGTGTTAAATTTATCGATATAAATACGACACAAAAATTAGGCAGGTGACATGAATACAGCACATTTAACATACCTAATATCGTAAACAGGTTAAACATTTTTATAACTAATTTAATTTCAAATTAGTTGTAAGCATTTTTATAAGTTGTTTGTTTTTAATTCCACCCTAGTCAAATTAATAGCAATGGGAACAAAATTTTAAAATAATTTTTATAAAATTTTGAAAGAAAAAATTTAAAATCATTTGATATATTAATAAACAAAACAAAATGTAATCATTTGATATATTAATAAACAAAACAAAATGTTTTATAACTAATTTTTTGCAGGAGACCTGCCTAAATGCTTATGGCAGGTCACGTGCTTCTCAAAGTAGTTTCCTATAACAGATCAAATGTCGTCGTGCTGTGTAGAATCAAACGACAAGGCAATATTCTTTGTTGTTTGTCGTAACCAAAACACTGCACGACAACAGCAGCCTAAACGACTTACTATAGACAAATCCTTTCCTTACAGGATTGCAAGAGAGATCAATAATAGGATCTCTGATATAACTAGAAGGTGCATTTCAGCTTTTACCCTAAGAACAAAAAGAGATGAGAGCCATTTCAAAGTTCTCAGCTTTCAACAATGGAAAACAAAAATATACTTAGAATGAAAATTTCAATTCTAAGCACCATCAATCTTGCATGTAGATGTGGCGTGCATGTCTGATCTTGTTCCATTCCTGATCCTGATTATTCTTGATCTTTGCAGAAAACTCTGGCATTCTTGTTAACTTCAATTCACTCAGAGTTCTAACATGTCGAAGTCCGTCAGGAGGCATCTTTAAGTTTTTTCAGGACCTGATCTCCAAGTCTATGAGACTAAGAAGTGCTCCCTCCTCCACATTCCACTCCTCTAGTAGATCCAGTTCCCAAAATTTTAGGACTTGAAGCTTGGGAAATCCTGCATAGCTGCAAAGCATTTCCTTTCCTATATATGATTTGGCAAATAATCCAAGAATTCTAAGGTTGGAAAGCTTGTCCAGAATTTGCATTGGGTCCTCTACCAGCTCAGATGCTGACAAAGTGAGTTCAATCAGACTCTGGGGTAACTCGGATACAGGATGTGGATTCTTTAGCTTTCCAACCAAATATATACTGGGGAGATACTTGTGGTCTAATAAAGACTCCAAATGTAAATCCCATGGCTGACCTGATTCATCAAATGATTTCAACCTCAGGGATTGAAGGTTTTTTAGGTTTGAAACCCAGTTCGCCAGCACAAGCAACTGTGAAGACATGGCTTCCTTTTGGGATCACACTGTTGTCTTGCATTTTAGTCCCAATTTTGTGATATTGCTTAAAGTGCCTAGGCCATTTCTCACTGGACTATTCTCATATATTAATGCACCCCAAAGTGTTTGAAGATCCAGTAGAGAGTTGTTCTCTTGGCAAGGAACAAACATGCTGCAAAAACTCTCATCTAAGAACAAATGGGTTAGGCTTTTGATCTTCCAAATTGAACTAGGGAGAGAAACAATACAAGTACGCTTCAAATCTACTGATTGAAGGTTTAGCAGTTTGTCAATGAAGACAGGAAGTGCCTCTAGGTAAGTTGATCTCAAACCAAGGTACCTCAACCGAGTGAGGTGTCCTACTTCCTTTTGCAATTTTGACTTGTACACATTTTCAAGATCCAGCACCCATAGCAAATGAAAGGAACTTGCAGAGATACATTGACCAAGAAACTTACCTCTATCTTCTCCCAGCTTTGCTTCCTTCTCGAGTATCAAAGGATAGAAATGAAACAACATCTTTATAACATGAGTAGAAAGAAGAATTTTTATTGTTGCTATGGATGTGGTTGAAGTGAGTATCCTTATGGTCAAGATGGTCAGCCAAACGGTATATAATACCCGTCTTGGTGGAAAATCAAGTCCAATTTTATCCTGCAGAAAATTAGCTTCCTTAGCTTTTGAGAGCCAGTGTATTTGCAAAGCATCTGGCATGCGACATCTGTTTATTTTTCCATTGAGCATCTTCTTGGTCACTTGGATCATGTTCTGGTTTACTAGCTCTATCAAGCACTTGTCTGAAACACATTCTGGAGATTCCTCATCTCCCTTTTGACGCCCTAAACCCTCTGCAACCCACAAGCCAATCAATCTTCTTGCAGGGATCTCATTATTCAGCCACACGGATAAGATAAGTTTTACTCTGTTTATAATTCTGTTTGTATAGCTAAGTTCTATTTGTTGTGTACTTATCATCTTCTACCTATGCTTATCATATTGTAACAGCTCCCTCAACTTAAAAAGGTGTACAGCAGAAATACAATTAATCTCAAAACCAAAATTAATCTCTTAAATCTTATATGGTATCAGAGCCGTAAAAACTACGGTTTTTATTTCTTCTATCTCCTTTCAATTCTGTGAGTCGTCATGACTTCATCTTCAAATAACTCTAATGTTATTCATTAATCTGCTTAAATCTTATATGGTATCAGAGCCCGTAATAAACTACGGTTTTTATTTGCTTCTAATCGTCCTTTCACTTCTGTGAGGTCGTGCATGACTGTTCATCTTCAAATCAACTCTACATGTTTAATTCATGTTCCTCTGGTCGAACGTTATATTTCGTTCAGACTGCTTTTCTCAGTCTTTTTCGCTTTGAAATTGACTTCACTAAAAATTATCCTTCCTGCTCGAGCTCAGGTTTGTTTCCGATTCTTAGAGGTTATTGGTTTTACTTGGGTATGTTGAAACGAAAGATTGTTCCTCCTTCTGCCCAGCTGTTATACAAAAAGATGGTTCTCCAGTTATACAAAAAGATGGAAAGGAGGTACCAAATACAGATTTTGAATTTTGGGAGTGTCAAGATCAATTGATTTTGGCTGCTCTTATAGGTGCTACTAGTTTTTCGGCTATGCATGTTGTTAATTCTGCTGAAACATCTGCAGAAGCTTGGGATCGAATACAAAGATCATTTGCGAATAGATCTGCAGCAAGACTTATTTCTCTTCATGAAAAATTATCTATTCTTAAAAGGGACTTATTTCTCTTCATGAAAAATTATCTATTCTTAAAAGGGAAACCCGGCCAGTTTCTGAATATTTGCAGATGGTTAAAGCTATATCAGATGATTTGTCCCTTTGTGGAAGTCCAGTTTCTCCCATTGATTTAATTATCTATGTTCTGAATGGAATTGGACCTAAGTTTAAGGAGATTGCAGCGGCTGTGCGTGCTCGAGATTCTGTAATCTCGTTTGAAGAATTAGAAGATAAGCTTCTAGCACATGAGTTATATCTTAAACGCACAGATTCGACTTTTGACGTAGTGCCACTTGTGGCAAATTCTGTTCGGAAAGGATATAACTTTCGTAAATCTGAGGCTACCACTGACAAGTCTCAAATTTTTTCTGAATCTCAAGGTCGTTCTGGACAGTCGAGAGGTTATGGGCAGTCCAAAACTATTTGTCAAATTTGTGAGAAACCTGGTCACTCGGCAAGGCAGTGTTTTAGTGCGAAGAAATTTTTCAAGAATAATTTTCCCCAGCCACGAGCAAATTATATTCATTCTTCTGCTTCACTCCCCAGCCAGAGGCAAATTATATTCATTCTTCTGCTTCACAAGATTATCGGAGTGGGTCTTGATACTGGAAGGCAACTCATCTTATGTTCACCAACGCATTTACGAAATCTTGTCTCTCAATGTGCACCGTTATGATGGGCGTTGGGATTGAGCTCCAGCTTGAC